AAAATCCATATTTGAATAAATTACAAGTAGCCCAATGGGCCTTAACAATGAAAAAGAGCTAAATGGGCCCAAAACAAAGAATCTTACGAGGCCTGATTTTCTTTTGGTTCACGTATCCCCACGTAAACCTCGCGGTTCTTCTTCGTCTCCGACCTTCGTGTTCTAACACAGAAACACACAATATTTATAAAAATTTTCCCGAGAAAATCTCCATTTGATTCAAAACCAAATGGAAAGCAAACGATTAGAGAAAAGTTGAAATCAACGTGATGAGTTCGTGGAGCAAGAGCTTTACCAGGCTCGTTAATGGTATATCGCTTGTAGCGAAAGAGATCTGTAATCAGTCACCGGAGTTTCAGAGAGCGAGAAACGGAGATCTCGAAGGGTTAATCTCATCCTCCGGGAAAAAAGTTTTGGTTGCCGCCACCGATTTGGTCGGACTCACCTCTGGGAAGCTTCGTGAGCTCTCTATTCGTCGATCTAAGGAACCATCCGTCGTATACTTCGACGACGGTGACAATAAGGATAATGGCGACGAATCGAGAGACGTCGTGTCTGAGATTAGATCTGCTACCACCAAATCCAGCTGCGTCGTAAGCGTTACTGCTGATTCGAAAATCCTGAGAAGCGAAATTAGTGAGGAAGCTAGTAATGTCAATAGAGAATCTGAGGCCAAGGTTGAGATTATCGGAGTTAGAGGTGATGCATCATCTACGTCGGAGGTAGCTCCGGTGAAGAGACGGAGACCTAGAGAACGGAAAGTTCCATCAACTCCAATGGCAAGAGCTTATGGGTAAAAGTCCTTATCACTTTTTGCTTAGTTAAGATTGGATTTTACATAGAATCTTATGATGAAGTATGAACAATGCTTTGTGTTTCTGAGATATTGTGGGATTTGTGAAAATGTGAAAGGTTTTTCAATCTTGGAGCTGCTCTTGCTTGGGGAGCTGTTAAAGAATCTACTTATAGGCTTGTAAATGGAACACCAGTTACACAGGACAATAAACCTGCGCTTTCGTCTATAATGTCTGAGGAAAATGCAGAAAGATTGGCTCTTGGATTGTGTGAAATGCGTGGAGCTGCACTTAAAGTAGGGCAAATGTTGAGTATACAGGACGAGAGTCTTGTTCCTGCTCCGGTAATTACCAATCTCACTCTATCCAGCTTTAGATCAGGTTACATTTCTGTGTTGGGTTAGTTTGGTATCTTGTTTGACATAAAGTAGGTTCTTTTCTTAGATCTTGAATGCTCTGGAATATGTGCGCCAAGGTGCAGATGTGATGCCGAGGAGCCAACTTAATCCGGTTTTGGATGCGGAATTAGGTCCAAATTGGCAATCGAAGTTGGCTAGTTTTGATTATGAACCGCTAGCAGCAGCGAGTATTGGTCAGGTACTAATGTAGTTTCTGCGTTTGTGAATGCGTGTGATACTTCATCGTTCTGAATGTGAATGTGTTGAACCTTTTTTTTTTCCTTTTCCTTATAACCCCATGATGTTTTAGGTGCACCGAGCTGTTACTAAAGATGGATTAGATGTCGCGATGAAGATTCAGTACCCTGGCGTTGCCAACAGTATTGAAAGTGATATCGAAAATGTCAGACGCTTATTAAATTATACAAATCTAATTCCAAAGGGACTCTTTCTCGACAGAGCTGTTAAGGTATTGTTATCTTACCGACTGTTAGCTAAAGCAATACATTTAGTTTCGTCTTTTTGAGAGCATGATTGTATATGCAATTTACATAGACAAAACACTTTGATAATCGGAAAGCATAGAATAAAAGATAGCAAATGGATAATGTACGCTACAAACGATCAATTTATCCGTGTCTTACGATTCAGGACGGAGTTTTTTGTAGGTTGCTAAAGAAGAGTTGGCACGAGAGTGTGACTATGAAATCGAAGCAATCAGTCAAAAGCACTTTCGTGAATTGCTTTCAGACACTCCAGGGTTTTACGTTCCTCGCGTGGTAGATGAGGTTTCAAGCAAAAAAGTTCTAACCACAGAACTTATTTCTGGTAAATGCAATCCCACTTACTCTGTTCCGACTAATGTCTTCTACGTTATAGTGAAGTGATCCGTTCTTTTTAACATATTTGTACAGGGATCCCCATCGATAAAGTGGCATTGTTAGATCAGAAAACACGAGATTATGTTGGGAGGAAGATGCTCGAACTCACATTGAAGGAACTCTTTGTCTTCCGCTTCATGCAAACGGATCCAAACTGGGGTAACTTCTTATACAACGAAGCCACTAAAACAATCAATCTTATCGATTTTGGTGCAGCCCGCGATTACCCCAGGAAATTCGTTGATGACTATCTACGAATGGTAAAAACAATCTTATGGATTCTGCCTTTTTCGCCTTCACATGTAAACCTTTACAACAACTTACGGGAACCTTTCTTTCAGGTGATGGCGTGCGCGGATAAAGACAGTAAAGGAGTGATTGAAATGTCGAGGAGACTCGGGTTCTTAACCGGAGATGAATCAAACGTAATGCTAGACGCTCATGTCCAAGCCGGTTTCATCGTAGGTCTACCTTTTGCAGAACCCGGTGGCTACGCATTCCGAACCAACAACATTACTTCTAGTATCTCCAATTTAGGAGCAACCATGTTAAAACATAGACTCACACCACCGCCTGACGAAGCTTATAGCCTTCACCGAAAACTATCCGGCGCTTTCTTGGCTTGTATCAAGCTTGGAGCCACCGTACCTTGCCGTGATCTCTTGCTCCAAGTTTACAATAAGTATCACTTCGATGATGAGCCACAAGATTCAAGATCAGTTTCTTCTTAGCTCTCTTTCATACGCAAACTATAGTAAAACGATTCTTTTTATTTCCCATTTTGGGAGTAAAATCGATTCTTGTTTTAGTACACAAATGAGTTTGATTTAGAGTAATTTTTGTTTGATTTTTCTAATAATGTTGAATATTACAATGCTGGAGAAATCAATCAACAAACTTTGATACTTATTTATCGGAGCTATACTTTTGGCTTATGACAATATCATCAATTGCCAAATCTCATCGTCAACACACAAAAACAGAAGATCTGTAAAAAATTACGAAAATCAAAAACTCAAAAAGAATTTTTCAAAACGCAACTCGAAAATGCATGCAAAACTTCTTTTTTTTTTTTGCAAGTGAAAAATAAAAACTGTATTAGATGTGATCATAAAGAATTAGGAGGTTGATGATGAGTAGTGGACACAAAAGCCACAGCTTGAGCCCATGCCTTAAGCCTCGCTTTCACGTCTTTTGGGTCATCCCCTGAAAATTCAAATTAAATCGATATTTAATTGTGTAAATATCAATTTTTTACTATAAACTACTTATAAAACATTACCATTTTTAAACGATTTCAGTTAAAAACTTTAAAACACATGAATATTTCGTATTTTTAGAAAAACGCATAACGTAATCATCTTATCTAAGTAAATACCCATTATTACACTTTGCTACCATATTAAAGCGAAGAGTTAAACGAAATTATTAGTTAGACACTTGCACTTTTATCTGGATGATTTTTTTTTATCTATCTAACTATTTTTAACACTTGTCGGTCTAGTATTAATTTGGACAAAACATTTAATATGTTATACGTGTATTTTTTTCCCAAAAATAGCTAAAATCCAATAAGTAAATTAAAAAAAAAAAAAATGGTTTCATGGGACTTACCGGGACTGGAAATACGGTGGTTAGAGGAAATCGGAGAATTGCCACCACTACTAGTATCCACCGTTGACCCTGCTGAATAAGAAACCCGACCCGGTTCAAGCTCAAACCCTAAATCCTTACAAGCTTTGACTTCTCCTAAATCCATACACAATGGTCTTCCTCCTCCTATAGGCCTCGTCACAACCACCACTCCTCCTCCGTAACCACCGTATTCATCCACGTAACTCCTCCGCATACTATTAACCCACGGTGGATACTCCGGTTTCAATCTCCTCCTCCTCCTTCTCTGATTACTATTATTATCATCATTCCCATGTTTCTCCTTTCTTGCTTCGTTCTCGCTTGCGTAAGCTTTATCGCCGGAAACCGGTGATATCACCGTTAAACTTCCTCTCCGACGTCTTCTTCTCGGAGGTGTCCCCGGAAGCGATTGACAACCATTGTCGGAATCTGAAAAGTTTAGTTCCGACATCGATTTTTCTCCTCCTCCTCCGGTGAGATTTTTCTCGTCGGAATCTGATGGTTCCTCGTCGGCTTCATCACCGTCGTAGTTTGAACAAACGGAGAGTCTTGATAACGAATAGTG